CCATATAAATTTATTTCCTCACAGTTCTAGAGGCCAGATATGAAAATGGTGCCATTGGGCTGAAGTCAAACTACTGGCAGGGCAGCTGTCTTCCAGAGGCTCAAGGGAATTATCTGGGGACTCTTCTAGCTTCTAGAGGCTGCCTACATTCCTTTACTCATGGCATGTTCCTCCGCCCTCTGGGGTGATCACACCAACCTCTACTGCCATTGTCCGATTTCCTTCTTTCTTCTGTTTTTGACCTCTTGCTTTTTTCTCTAAAGGAACTCTTATGATTTCCTTTACATCCCTAAATGGTGCAAACAGTCTGTACTCAACTAAGTTAAAGATTAGCATTTCAACCCCACCCAGAAAAGCCTAGTGATCTGCTGCCTTAAGGATTACACCCAAGAAAGCTCTATGAAGCAGTCCCCCCTGTCACACACGGGGATTAGCAGGAGTCTGAATCGACTGCAGAATAACAAGCGTGGCTTTTTGGTGCGGTTATTACACTGAGTTTACCTGGATAATCCAGGGTCATCTTTCCACCTGAAGGTCCTTCATTCGATCATCTCTACAACTCCCCTTTTATCATGTAAGGTAATGGGCTCACAAGTTAGGGATTCATATTTGGACATCTTTTGTGTGCCTTTATTTTGTGTAGCATAGCTACAGGAAGTACAAACAATAATAGTAGCCAACATGACACAATTAAAACAATTACAATTTATAGAACATTGTAACCAACATTCTTTTCAAGTGTACCTGGAATATCCAGCAAATAAATAACTAATATATGGTGGATATGAAATCCAGGATAGGTAAATCTATAGAGGCAGTAACCGGATTAATGGCTCCTTGTGGGTATGATAGGAGAGGGTGGGAGAAAACTCAGAGTTAATAATGAGTACAGGAATGAAGAAATTGTTCTCAAATTGATTGTGGTGATGATTTTACAACTCGTCTTAATATGACTGAACTACTGAATTGTATAGTTTTTAAATTGTATGCCAATACAATTGTTGAAAAAAATCATGTCGGGCCATTAAATAGTATTGAAGACTGAAACTTTACAGAATATGTTCTCTTCTTAAATGAAATTGGATACAAATAAAAATAAGACACTTAGGAAAATCGTAGTTATTTAGAACTTAAATACATATATGCAGTCCCTAACTCAGCTTGCATTAATGACATCCAACCTACAAAGAACTGCAGTTACAATTTTCTGTTCTTTTCCTCTTCTTTTAACTTATATAAAGGGGCACATAACTGGAGATGCAGAAGTGCCAGTGTTGAAGCTGTACAATGAAAATCAATAATGAAAACTGGAACCAAAAAAATGATATTCAACTCAAGTCATCAGAACAAACTCCTACAATAAGCTGGGGACTTAATTGGATAGTCATGTGACACATTAATGCACATTTAGGCAACATCTGACCACATATACTCTCACGCTCCCATAAGGCTTATGAATTCAGAAATCCAATTGGAGAACAGGACATAGCATATCAGACCTAGTGAATGCAACAGCTTCCTGCATGTAACACATGTATCTTATGACTCCTGCACACCAGCAATTGTGCTGCCAGGAGTATATTGGTATAGCACATCTACAAAGGGGTTTCAAAAAATTTGTGGAAAGCAGAATTAAAAGATAACAGAATAAAAAATTAAAAAAAAAATAACAGAATCTTTCCACAAACCCTTAAAAGCCCCCTCATAGAAGAAATAATACATGTCTTGATAGTCATAAAAAACACTTATTTTACTGGTTTATATATTTACTGTTCTGTACTTGCTACTGTCATTTTAATGTGAATGTTCCCAATTTATCAATAAAAAGTTTACTGTATGACAGGATATGTTTTGACTCATAAGCAGCAGCATCCAATCGCATATATTGTGTGCATTTCTTGACTGTTGCAGGGCTACCTATATAATGTGTTCACACAACACCCTATCTCCTAGATGCTACTGTGGGCATTAAGTAACACATGACCATACTTCTAAATAACCAATGGTCTCCAAAGCAACATCATAAAACTATTAAAACTAGACATTATTTCAAACATACTAAAAATAATAATACAGAATAGCAAAGTTTATGAGATTCAACTAACTTTATGCTTACAGGGAAACTTACAGCCTTAATTGTATTCTATCAGAAAGGTTAGAAGACTACCTGTCTTAAGTGAAAGAGGGATGAGGATCTAATGTCGGGGGTTTAAGTGGAGAGAAAATGTTTTGAGA